ATCGAGAGCACTCCGCTTCAATTGTGGACCTCGTTGCCAACGCTTTCCTCGTGGATTTGCATTAACCAGATAACCAGATAAGTGACCAGCATCAACGTTCCATATTCTTTATTCTCTGCTCGTTCCCTCTCGATGTTTGTAGATAAGAGGAGCGTTTCTCCGAGATCCTTATCTCAGAGGCCTCTTGATTTAATTCATGTCGGGAGATCCTTTCTTTTATCTTATTTGGAGATGGACGTAATTTCCAAAGGAATCATCGTGCAAAATTAGGAAGAACTTTGATTACTCGGGTGATGTCAAAATATAACTCCCAGCAGATGCTTTTGAGCGTGTAAATCCTTTGAGTGTTTGGCAAGTAATAGATAAAAATTATATTTTAAATATGTACTGATGTAAGTCTTGTTTGAGAAAATTATATTTCAAAGGTTTATTGAATATTTTATAATAAAATTGCCACATGATATTTTTAATATTTATTCAAAAATGAATATATATTTGTATTTAAATTAATAAAATTAAATAAAAATAAAGAAATAAATGTAATATTGTAAAATTTTTGTATGAGTCAAATATATAATAAATAAAAAATATAATTATATAAATATAAAAAAATCTTTATATTAGTTTCCTACTAAAATTCAATATATATTAGCATCATATAATTACTAAGATACAAATGTACAACATTTGAACATTTCTAATATAATATCTAAATAATTTATATTTTTTTAAAAAATATTAAATAAAAAAATATTTTAAATATATATTGAATCCTTAATACATATGTCATCGAATCGTATCTTGGTACAGTTCTGTGGTCGTGTTGAGGGACACGTGGACTATGGAAGCAGGGGGCTTGGATCTATCGAGACGTGAGATCGTTATCTTGAACTGTTCGGGAGAATCGTAGTACCGAGATCGATAATGACATGCATGTGATGGTCGTGCACCTTTTTCCGAGCTTGCCATGTTCGATCTCGTTCGTCGTTCTCTTGATGTGGTTGATGGCGGGAGGAAACCGAGGGCTTCCTCTCAACCCGGTGATGTGGCCTTCATTTATTGGCAGCTAATGCTTCTGAGTGTGAACGAATGACGGCAGTGGCAGTGTCGCATTCGAGCGCCACTTGTCCGTGTTGAATCGCTTTCGCTTCATGCATACAAGCCTGGCCTGTAGTCGTTGTGTCCCCTTCCCTACGCTTCCCTCTATAAATTCCCCACCTCTCTCCCTTCCCTGTGTCTGCCACTTTACCCGACCTCTAATCTCCACCTCCGTTTCCGACCCTCAACGCCTTGCTCCTCCCGGAGTCGGAGACCTCGAGACGGTTGGTCCTTTCTGTGGGCACCGGGCTTATGCTCGGGAAGTCTGGGTGTCGTCAGAAAGCAATCTGAATTCTCGAAGGGCTGCATTCTCTGGACTTGCTGCTTTGGAGGAAAGAATCTTGTTTTGGATCTCCCGGATCTTTATCGCGAGCAAAGAGTTGCAATCTTGTTTCGGAATTCCGGAGGAAGATGACTACTTCGTCACTGCTGCCAGGGTTCCGTTTCCGTCCGACGGACGACGAGCTGGTGGGATACTACCTGAAGAGGAAAGTGGACGGGCTGGGTACTGAGCTGGATCTCATTCCGGTGGTCCAGTTGTACAAGTACGACCCGTGGGACTTACCTGGTAATGCTGCACGTATTGTGTTTGCTAAAATGCAATGCTATTTCCCTATTAGATTAGGAGGAAATTTAGTTGTAGTACACTATACTTGACATACAGATAACAATTTCTAGGCAATTCTTGGTCAATCTTCTAAAGTCTAATCTCACCACTAATCCTTCGAAAGAAGAATATAAGAATTTTGGTTATCCTTTGAACAATGAGGTAAAGAAAAAGATATTGAGTTGATCTCTACCTCAGTTCCATGGCTTTTCATGCATGTGTCTCTTTGTTTGAGATATTTGGTTATGTGCCTGTATTTATATGCATTGATAACCAGAAGCCCCATTAAATTTTGTGTGATGTTTGATTGCTAGTTGATCGTAAATGGTTGAGATTTACGATTTTATTGTTCTTATTGTTTTGTTTGCTGGCTAGTGCTTAGTAGTCTAGGAATTGTCTTTGTGTAGCATCTACCCCTCTAAGCCAAGAGCAATCTCAATGTTGATGTATCATACTAATGTATATGTTGCGAAATATCCTGAAATTTCAAGAAGGAGAAACATCTCACACATTTAAATGTTAGTAAATGCAGACAAGTCATTTCTTCCGAAGAGAGATATGGAGTGGTTCTTCTTCTGCCCACGAGACCGTAAATACCCAAATGGTTTACGCACAAATAGAGCTACAGCATCTGGTTATTGGAAAGCCACTGGTAAAGACCGAAAGATTGCCTGTGAGCCTTCTGTGTTTGCCTTGAGAAAAACACTTGTGTTCTACCGTGGAAGGGCCCCCGGAGGTGAAAGGATGGATTGGGTGATGAATGAGTATCGCCTTTGCGAAAATCTACATGAAGGATCTTCTAATTTTGTGGTAGGTACAACAACAACATGTCTTTGAGTTTACAAAGTTTATTCTTTTCTATAGATGCTTTACTTGTTCATCTTCATGTTCTTAGGGAGGTTTTGCGTTGTGCCGAGTGATCAAAAGAAATGTTCATGGGATGAAAACTGGTGATCTGCATGGAGAATCCAAAGCTAAAAGATGTCCCTCTTCTTCTGATGCATTTAAGTTTGACCCTAAAGGATATTCTGGAAAGGTCCTCAATAGTTTGGAAGAGAATTCATCACGCGTCACAAAAGTGTCTCACAGAAGCACAGATTCGACTCCTATAGCTTCTCCAGATGCTGATAGAGAGATCGACTCTGAGATGAGAGGCTTCTGGGAATCACAAGTAGTCTCCGATGCTTCAAAGGTATCAACATGCGTAAACAAGTGGTGTTCTTTATAATCGAAAGTCAACAAAATTATATGACATTAGCATCAAAAGTTTGTCATTAAGAATCTTTCGCTACAATTTCAGACTTCTTTGGTGGACCGAGGCATCTCTAGCTCGATGATTACCATTGGAAATACCGCTGAAAGAGAAGCATCCCCACCAAGTAATCTCTCTCCCTTCAGTGTCGACCTCATCGAGGAAGAGTTTGGGGTAGTGGGTGGATTTCCTGGGAGTGGAAGTTTGCTTGCTTTTCCAAGCCCTGCATATTGCATGGGACTTTACGGCAATGCAAGAGACATCACATATCAGAGCCTTGAATTGGATGCACCAAGAGATCCAAGTGCATCACATAGTGGTAATACTACCTTTCTGATTAATGAATGCATAAGTTATATCAATCGAATAACCTGTTAACTAAATCCATTTTGCCTTTGATTTCAGGCACTGAGACTTGGAACACGACAGCGCCTGCATCAGTCTGTAGACAAGCAGGTGAGGGAGAGGATGAAAGCTTGTGGTTGCATGAAGACAACTTGGTGGTAGTGATTTAAGGAAGTTCACATTAGATTGTGGATACTGCAGGTGACAGTTGATTATATAAGGGTAATTTGTGCATCCTTTCTCGATATATTTAGAATAAAGAAAGACGTCAAAGACACCCCTCTCTATTGTCTGTGTCCGGAGGTATACACATCTCCCTTCGTCAAGAAATGTAACTAAAAAGGCTTCCTATCTCACCACTTCTGTTCTAAGAAGCAAAATAAATCGACCATGTAATGATACTTGTTCTCTCTATCATATGAAGCCCCTTCTGTTGTGCTTGGAAGTGAGACATTTTTGGTAAGTTAGGGGTTTAACTTGCATGGATCAGTGATCCTTATCATTCTCACAAACAAATTAATAGCTTGGCCTGAATCTAATATAGTCAAAATTAAATCTAAGCAAAATACATGTGAGGCATAGCACAGTGGTTAAGATAAATTGATCTATCAATTTTATTTGATTCAAACTATTGATCAAAATACTTAGACTAAAATTAATAATAATACACTCATCATATCTTTATAAGTCAATCTTAGTCTTACCCATTTAAGGTGTTAAGATTAATCGAGATATTATAATTTTTTCTATTCAAGAGTTTAATGTCCTCGTTAAGACTTAGTATAGTCTAAATCAAACCCTTGTATGATGTATATGAGGTGGAGGTGACTCCACATCGTGACGAGTCCTTTGGTTCTATCAACAAGTAATTCTTTCTACTTAATCTCACTTACCGGACACAAATATTATTTTGGCTCTAATGTTAAATGTCATGACCTAAGCCTGAGCTAATTAATATATCAACTTTAGTTTAAGTATTTTGATCAATAATTAGTCATCGTATCAAACAAATATGTTCATCATTCTTCAACAAATTTATACCAAAAATATTAAAAAAAATAAAATTCCAACATTGCCATAGGAATAATTTCATAAAAAATACTAATTTATTTAATGAAGCAATCAAGTATATATTGTTTGAGAGCTACATAAATAAACTCCTCTTGTTATCTAATTGGCAAAAACTTTTTGACCCTTATCAAATTGTAAGAACAAGATTAACAAACAATCACAATAACAAAAACAAATCATAATATCGTGACTATCTAAAATCGCCTTTGATTTTTTGTTGCCATCCCGACTACATAATATAAAAGAATTTGACAAAAAAAGGCATGAAGTGGATTAAGGAGTTCGTCATTAAGCACAAGTGTTCTCCTTGGACACTGATATAGAAGTTTAAGCAGTCCAATACATTGCAAGCTGCAGCTCAATTTTATTCTCTCAAATTAGTCTTCCTAAATCATACCAATTCCGTGTTCAATTAGACGTGCAAACCCATATAAATTTATCTGAAATGGATTCATGGTATAAGAACCGTCATTGTAAGTTATCATATATATTATGACAATATATAAACGAGATTCACTTAATATATTCTCCTTTGCCTCCATCTCTCTTTTCTCTAATTTTATTTTTTATATCTATTCTTTTAAGCAAAATTATAAAAATCAAAGGTGTGTGTGTGTGTGTGTCGTCTTTTCCGTGGCATGGCGACGCTTGCATCCTTCTCGAGTCGGTTGGGCGCCGTCGTCCGCGAGCTGGCCTCAAAGAAGGGGCCTGGCGGATGGTGCGGCCGTCACATGGCCGCGGCGGAGCGCGCCATCCTTGACCGGATCCCCCTCGTCGACCTGGTCGTCGAGGTCCGCGACGCCAGGGTTTGCTCCTTTCTTCCCTTCTCTCTTCTGCCCAGACAAAGCTCCTTTGTCTTTGTTGTTGTGTAGTACTTGAGATTGGTTGTGTGATCTGTACTTAGTTGCTGCCCGGTAAATGTTCGATGAAATTTCTGATCGATCCTTTCCGCCGGTCATTGAATTCCTTTGTTGTCCTTGTTCTCCAAGCTTACTGGTGAAGGATCATATCGTTTAGCCGAAGACTAAGCACTCGTTTCCGTGAGGTTAGATCTTGCACCAAAATGCTGAAGCTATAAAAGGTGCGTATACAGTTAGGGTTTTGAGATGAGGAGTTTGTTGTACAAAGAAATTGTTAGGATTAAATTCGACATTGGAAAGGGAACCGTAGCGTCGAGAGTTCATTGTACAAGGAGAAACTCATGATTGCACTCTCCTTTGTTTCTTTGCCAAACACTTCTAGCACATGAATACTTCAACCAATTTTCTCTCGCTATGGGTCCCTAGATCAGATTCTTGACCACTGTGGGTGCCGCCATCAATAAATACCAATTCTCAATACTGAACTCTCTGCTTCCCTTCGGTGGCAAATGGTTATTATTTTTTTGAGGTGGAAGTTGGCTTAAAGCAAGGGCAAGACAGATAATCCAGCACTCACATGGCTGCTGTTGACTGGAAACCCCTCATTGATGGTTTGGACAATCTCCAGTTATTTTGTTGGTTTGGACAATCTCCAGTTATTTTGTTGGTTTGGACAATCTCCATTTGGTTGATGGTTTGGACAATTTCCAGGACCAAAATAGCACTAGAAATTGTAACTCACTCTTCTTGATGGTTTGAACTTTGAACAATCTCCGTTTAGTTGTCACCAACCAACTTTTTGGTGAAACTGCTGATGCGTGCTGCTTGTCATTGAGTACCTTTTAAAAAATCTATTAGTACATGCCTGTTGGGATTGCAAGTTTCAATCTAAAATTCAGTTATTTTAACACAAGACCCATGCAGAGATCAGATTTGGACAGGAAAATGCTCCAGAAATAAAGGGATTCTAGATGAAGTTAGAAACGGGAACTAGTGTTTAACATTGGATGCTGAAGGGGATAAACTGTGTTTTTCCTGCTATTTTCATGTCTTTTCAAAAACGATGAATGTGGCTAGCAGTTTTCTATTGCTCTTTGGATGTATTGATACAATCCCTAGAATTTGTTAAATTTAGTATTGAGAATAAGAAGATTGGTGGTGCATTAAGGAGATAATGCGGAGAAGAGGTGCAATATCATTTATGATTCATGAAGATTTTTTTAATATAAAATATGAAAACAATGAAATGGAAGATGTTATTGACACACAAAATTGTCAATGAAAGGAAATATGCACTTCAAATTTGAGTGGTTCATGGAACTGTAGTTTAACGTATTTGCTTGACCTTCTGTAGATACCATCAACATCTGCTTTCAAGTGTCTGAGAAAGGCATGTTGCTCCCATAAACAAGTCATTGTGCTGAACAAGGTGGACTTGGCTGATAACTTCCTAACAGAGGTAGGTCCTTTACTTTAGCTATTAACACCGTCTTATTTAGGATATAAGAAGTGGGGTTTGTTATTGATTGTTGCAACAATTCTCCATCAGATCATGATGACTTTACCTAGAAGACTTTTTCCCTGACATATGATCATCTTGTTTGCAGAGATGGTTGAAACACTTCAAGAACCAGAACTATATTACTTACGGACTCAATGCCCACAATAAGGATAGTATCAAGGAGGTAATATGATGTTTGCTGCATCCATTTAATGATTACATTGTGTAAAGAGTATGGTCAATGATGTATAAAATATATAATATTACTCTGTACTCAATGTAGGAATCCTATTGTATCATGAGTCTAGGATAGGAAAAACTGTGTTCGAGAGAACTGATCGATATGTTTTTCTTGGTCAGCTACTAAGAATTCTACGAGCTAGGGTAAAAGAACTAAAGGTTGGCGAGAGTAATTACACTGCAACTATACTGCTGACTGGGATTCCAAATGTTGGCAAATCAGCCATAGCCAATAGTATGCATCAAATTGGAAGGATTGGTGCAGCAGGTACACCTTGGACCTTTTATTTATTAAGGAAATGATCAAGAGTCCAATTAAGTTTCTTGATTAAATTTTAATGAGTATCTCATTATGCAACAATGATTTGAAGAGAAGGGAAAATTGAAGCATGCAGTAGTCAACCCACATCCTGGGGAAACTAAAGATATTAGCAGCTATAAGGTATGTGGCTTCCATTGGTACACTATGTCTTGTATGTTGCCACCTATCTTGTTTATAACGAAGGATTTCTTTGTCTTTTATCTTATCCATGCTGGCAAGCAGCTGATATGATGTCGAATATTAGCATGGCAGGGTGTGCCACCTTGTTGACATTGTTGTTCTAGGAATAAAAAACTTGAACCTATTGAGAGAGAGGGAAAAGAAAGTCCCACATACCTGTTTATGTGGTGCCAGATTAGACTAGAGAGCTCCTGCTGGATGAGAAGAGAGACGTGGAGCAGACACAAGCATCAGACATGACAAAGAAGAGCAGTGAGGAAGGCAAAGTGAAGAAGAATTCCAGATTGAGAGCCACACACACACACACACACAGATATATACGTGTATGTATATATATATATATATATATGTATATATATGTATATATGTATGTATATATATATATGTATATATATATATATGTATAT